CACATTCAGATGACTTAAAGTTGATATGATGAAATATTGTAATTGGTTAATGAATGCATTTAATTATTGTTCAAGCTTTGATATAGAATTGTATTTATTGAAATAACAAATCATTGGACTATATGAATTATTTATTTGCATATCTTGTGGAATTATTTTATAATTAATTATTACGCAGAACAAAAACTGCTCAAAGCTAACTCCCATAAGTAAATACCAGCACATATTAACCTGTAAATAGTCCCCCAAAATGTATTATTATTCGTTCAAAATAAGATAATCAACACTTCTTAATTATTCCAAACCGCACCCAGTTCAGGAACAATACTATATCCAAGTGGGGAGGAGTCAGAGAGTGTTCCCCAGAGGAATACTTAAAAGGCTCTTAACCACCCCCCTGAAATCCAAGTGATAAAAATATTACTGCAACACACATTAAGCCAGTGTTTATATGAGACTGCAATAATAAAGTGCGCAATTTAATATAAAAAAAGTGCACTTACAATGTGTCCCGGGGGCTCTTTTGATAACCCAAGAGATAGGGCTGTGCAAATATGCAAATTGAACAGATGATTCCAATGATGATGGCGATGAAGATGAGATGCGAGGAGGCCTTTTGACAATCCAATTCCAATTGTCCTCCCGGCTTCGTTCGTAAAATTCATTGAAGCCAATTGATGGTACAAGTACAAATAAGCGGGATATTCATACATACACTTGTTTGTTTATACTATATATACATATATCTATATATGTAGATATAGGCAGAGCAATTGGGAGTCGAAGCTGATTCGGTTGGCGTCATGGGAATTGGGGGGTGTGACTTGACCGACCGATCTTCAACCACTAATTGAGCGTTTAGGCAGAACAACAGAAGCCAAGCTCTAATAATATAAAGTGTGCGCGTCACTTGCTTTTATTTTCACATTATTTTATTTCGCTATTTTTATACACCTGAACCGGATTTAGCATCGAAAAAAATAATAGATGGTGATGATCATCAGTTCGCAAAGGCAGCGAAAAAATAAAGCAAACTAATTAAAAAAGCGGCAAAAACCGGCTAAATGACAATCGCTGTGGATGGGTCGTCTTCGTTTAGATTTAATTAGAATATAGTTAAATGTAGTTAGCTATAAAGCAGAGCTCCCTCGATCCAAATCTATTGGAATTTAATTAAAACCATTTTTAATTGAAGCATTTAAAGATGAAACCTCTCATATAAACCATTTATGTTCAGCACGCGCCTGTCGTGGCATAAGTAGACTAACTTAACCGGTTTATGGGAATAATAAACACGAAGCACATATATTTTTTATAAATTTAGCTAAGCATTTGTGCTCCCCATTCATAGTTAATTTTGTAAAAGAAAAGAATGCTTTAACACCTCATAATATAATATCTATGCAGCATATTGTGAGAAACTAGTTTATTTTTATACCCGTGCAGGGTATTATAATTCTAGTCAGAATTTTGCAACGCAGTGAAGTATATATAATCTTGATTATTTATCTAATTTTTATTATTATAGAATTTCGTTTTTAGTTTTATGAAAATCGGATACAATGTAAAATAACCGCCAGAGAAACTGTCAAATATTGAGAATCAGTAAGTATCTATGACCAGTACCTAACTATGATCAGTAAGTATCTATGATCAGTAAGTATCAATGACCAGTAAATATCTATGAACACTAATAAACAATGACTTGCAACTTTGGAACCCAAAACAATTCTGAGACGTGGCCGGCAGAAGTCATTTGTTAGAGCTAGTTGGTAATCATATGCGAGATTTGTTTTGGAACAACGAGCAACCTATTTTAATGAAACTATGGAGTTATTCTTCTATATAATTTTATATATAAGTCGGGGCATGGCGAATCGGTGGACTATATATATGCAATGGAAGTAAGCTTCCATTCATATAATATCATAATATTATAATAGCAGTGATTAGCTTTCTCTCGCCCTCTCTTTCTGTATGCCTCTATAAGCCTCAGCCTCCCTCTCTCTCTCTCGCTCTCTTTCTTACTCACAATAACATTTGGTATGTCTGCCTCTTTCTGTTGCAGCTCTAGAGAATGCGCTTACGCTCTATCTCCCTCTGTTGCAGCTCTAGAGGTAGCTCTTACTCTCTCGCTCTCACTTTCTCTGTTCTCTTGCCTCGGGAACTATAAATAGAGGCATTTTGTGCGCCGCGACCTCAGTCAGTCCTAGGGGTACCTAGTGTTAACATCAAAAGTGATAGTGATAGTGATTACCATTCGACCTCAAAAATATGACGTGGCCAATGGAATACAATTGGATAACCAGGAAGTGATCTTCGATACCATGATTACCCTACTTAAAGTCACCAAGATTATAAATCTGCACTGAAAGGAGGTAAGCAATGACGTGTCCTAAACTGCGGTAAGTCTTAATCATGATAATTATATCTTATACCTATTATATTATTATCTCATATACATATATACATACATGCTATAGGAGGTATTCAGGCCTTGATCTAGATTAAGTTTAGGTATGAATTTATTATACTCTTTCAGGGTATTATAAATTCAGTCAGAAGCTTCTATATATTCTTGATCAGCATTAACTTTGAAACTTTGAAGTTAGTTTGAAAATTTTTACAAAATAAATGATAACATTTTCAGTTTTTAATAGATTTTCATTAAATTTAAGATGTAGCCTTTTTATATTATTTTACAATTTTGTGTAAAATTTCATGAAAATCGGAAATCTATATCACATAGCTGTCATACAAACGATCGTTAGATACAGACGAAAACACAGAAATCTGAATGTAAAACTGTAACTTTAAATATGTTTTTTCGACATAAATATATATAATTTATATTGCATTAATTCCTAGTGATCCAATTTCAATCTGCAAGGTTCCGAAGATAGCTTCCTTTATTGTTAAGCATAAATTAAGACATATACATAAAATTCCTAAATAAATGTTTAGTATCTCTGAAGGTAATTAAATTTCACAGAATCTCCTATCTTTATAAAATACATGGCACGTGTATAATCCCAAGATAATCCATAATCCTGGTTTATTTTCGGCTTTAATTTGAACTCAAGATAAGCTTAAAAATTACGCAATTGCTAGGCATTATCTGAAATAATATGCATCTTGTCTTGACCAGAAATAAAGAAACACCGAAAATATCAACAGCTGCAATATGCTTTGTTGCTTTATATATTTTTAAACTTGGATAGCTTGGGGCTATTTTGACTCTGCGGAAGTTTTAAGTTTAGTTTATAAACTGAAGTCCGCAACGGAAGCAGCTTCAGATGATGCTTTGTCACTCACAGCTGTCATCGGTGGTTCGCTTATAAATATAAATATATATTGGAAAAGAGAGATAACCCCTTGAGTACCAAGATTCTATTGATAACTCTGCTGAGCTCCCTTTTTAATGTGTTTTCCGTTCAAAGATTGTGAATGTTTTGAGGCGACGCTAATGAGGAAACAATTTGCTGAAACATCGCTACTGATAAGCCAGGAAAATTGTCCGTACTCGCGATAAGAAACAACAAAAATCTTGGGTCCAGCTTGGAACAGCTTGAGACCCAAAAATAAAGTAAACTTAAGTTACTCATCGATCGTGATCCCAAATTAGGAGTTGGCACGCTTATGGTAAGGTGAAAACGTGCCCATAAAAATTGCGCAAACAAATCATGCGAAAGGCGCTAATTGTTGTAAAAACGCGCTGATAAATTAAATATTATCTGTTTCCCCCAAGTACAGCAGCTGGTGTTGGTGGTGGCTTTTAAAAGCCACGTTAAATATTGCGAAATAGAGCCGCCAAGCCGTCGAATCCAATCTAATTAGCATATCAATTTGGCGCTTTGTGTTGATACACGAAGAATGTGGTTAACTCGAAAGGGGGCAGAATATCAAGGGGCCGGCTCTAGATTGGCTCTCAGGTGATATAAGGCGATCGCCGGCAAGGTTGGACTCGTGTCTGTGGATCGTATATATTATGCATGTAAATGGGTTACGTTGTCGGTGTTAGGCTAGGTTGGGTAACGCGGCCACCATACTCTAGTTTCAAGTAATGATTAAGCCTTAAAATGAGTGATTTGTGGTTTAATTTGGGTGATGATGAAGCCACAGAAGCCCCAGAGAAGGTTTATGAACTCACATGATAGAGGGAATTAAGTGCGAGATAATATACTATGATCTAAGGATGGATATATAAATCTCAATTCCCTGCTCAGTTTCCTTTACAGAAGCTTTAAAAAATGGAATTATAAAACCATTATCAACGTTAAACCCTCTCATCCATTTCCTTATAAGGAAACTCATTTCTGCATCTAAAAAGTTAACTAAATGTTATTGAATTAATACGATTTGCTTTGGTTCTTCACCCCCTTAATTAGTTGTCCTTTATTTTGTAATGTTTTGATATTAATTCGACTGATTTGAATGCAATGAAAATGTTTGAATTTAAGATGTTCTTTGAAAATGGTAACTTGGCCAATCCTAATAAAAAATAGTCAATTTTGTAGTCAAAAAGTAAGGATTGAATTTGAAATGCTCGCTTGATAAGTAGATGAGCCAATGGATATATATATAGAGAGAGATATTAAACCAATGATGGGTGAATCAAGAGAGGTGTACACTTGGGTGCCGAGTGCTGGAGAAGGTGCCAAATAAAGTTCGTGGGATCATTTTTAATACACTTTTTTTTTTTTTTTGGTGAAAGGTGGGAAAACACAACTAAGAAAGAAAAGTGCAAACGGTGCTTAGTGTTTCGGTAAAAAACTACGACGGAAACGGAAACTAAAATACCAGCGAGCATAAAGTATTTAAAATCAACATATAAACAAACAAACTAAATAGAAGTATGCAAAAATTCAAAATTTTCACACAAGTTTCCAAAAACTTTTCTTTTTTTTTTTGTTAATTTTTTTTGTAAGTTAAAGTTTGGTGCGGACAACACAGTTAGGTTTAGGTGAAGAATTTGTATTAAAGAGTTTTTTGGTCCTAACCTCGCCGCCCAACATTTCCAAGTCATGCGATGCGGCATGCGATGCCGTTTTAATGATCTTGTAGGTCTTGGCGAACGGCGCCTTTATGAGCTGTTTGTAGTCACAGGAGGTTAATTATCATATATGGCACATATATATTTATGGATTTAAGTGGGTACTCGGACCCATTTTGATGGCAGTTTGTTTTGTTTTCGATATTGTCGATATTGTTTCGATTGGAAAAACAAATGCAAATCAAATTGTAAGATACGAAAGAAAGAAGAAAAAACAGGAAAAGAAGGAGAAAACGCATGTACAATACACGTGGGGAAAAAATTGTAAACAAGATATACGATTATATAAGTATGTATAGAAAAACTTTGGCGTAAATTGTCATTAATTAGTAATTATTAAATCGATTTCTGAGGCATATATAACCTAAAGAAGCAAATTTAATATTTCGTTTCGTTTCGGAATTCGAAAATGTCGTGGAAAAAGAGCTCGAGAGAATCGTTGAAAAATATGTATACATATATATATAGAACAATTCGAGGAGAAAGCTCAGAGCAAAGAGTTAAACGATATGGAAATAGATAAAGAGAGAGACGGTCGCGCGAAAGGAATCTCGCTGTATGCGGATGTGGACTCACCTCCCAGGACTCGCGGGTCAGGTCGCTAATCTCTTCGCCATCCTGGCTGCCGCCTCCAATGCCGGCCTTGGTGGTACCGCTCTTGGTCCACTCAGTATCCTCCTGGATCAACTCGAAGCCACGCGCCTTGATCTGCTCTTCGTCCAGCTCACCGTACAGGTGTTTCACCCAGGTGTTTATGAAGCGATAGAGCTCATCAACGCTGCAATTGAATAATTCAAATATAAGTATATATCTGATAAGTAAAAAGATCATCCCAACTAACCGATTCTTGGGCACACTGAACCAATACTCGGCGCGCAACTTGTTCTTGCCATAAGACATGACAGAGGTTGGCAGCGGTATGGCCTTGCCTATGGGTTTACCCATGCGCAGGCGCAGATACAATGGTGGGTCGAGGCAGGCTCGGGCCGGGCGTGGTATGAGTTCTGCAAAAGAGAGTTCAATATAACTTAGTTTGCTGTAACTTCCATTGATTTCCGGTTTTATTATCTTACTGTCCACACTGATAAAGAGCTCCGGCTTGTCATCCATGGAAACCATGGAGCGGTAGTCCAGTTTGGGTGCCTGCTTGGCCTCCTTCAGCTTGGTGCTGGACGAAGTGCCCTCCGACGAGTGCGGGCGTATAAAGGTACCAATTGAGGAACGTCTGGGGAGGCACACAATGTTAGATGGTAAGCAAAGATTCAAAAAGATTCTATATATATATATAGACAACAGGAACGACTTGAAATTTACACTGGAACTCAAGAATGTAGCTGATGAATGAATCAATCGAAATCATAATATGAACGAATGTGCTCGGTGGAGTTACATATGGACTTCTTTGCGCTTCAACACTACAACATCAACAACAAGAGCAACGAATGCAACAACGGCAAACAACACAATTGATCCCTCCTTACCCATAGGTCAGATGACCCTCGGAATGTGTCGAGTGCGGAGTCAATGGCGGCACAGGTGAGCCACCAGAGTCCTCGGACGGTGTTTTCGAAAATAGATTCCCGCCCAGCTCTGAGACCAGAGTGATGGGCGAGCTATGTACATATGCCATGTGAAAATTATGTGGTGTTTATGGTATAGAGGTTGTGTGTGTGTGTGTGGGTAGTGTTGTGTTGTGTTGTGCAGTGTTCATATGTTATGAGCGGGCATAAGTGGAGCATGTATGTATGTTTAGCAAAGCAGCCGATCCGCACAAAACGAAGGTAAGCATTTGGATATTATTTTTGTTTCGGTTTTAAAAAAACGAAATAAACAAAATTTGTTGGCACCAATTATAGTCAGAGATCGCTGAACGTAAGTCATATCATCATTCGTCTCGGGGTCAACTCACCTTGAGAATACTTTCGAAAATACGCTCTGGTTGGAGTCGCCCGTGTTGGGCGCCGACTCCGTGTCACCTGACTTGTTTAGGCTGCCGCCCACGCCGCCGGGCGGCACGGCTCCGCCCTCACCGGTCAGACCTTCCACCCAGGTCAAGGGGTACGAGAGACGCTTCAGCATCTAAAAACATAGGGTTACATTTTAATATTTAATATTATTAAATATTACTTCTAGTTTACCTTGTTTTTCTTCTCCGTCTGTTTGTCGGTCGCTGCCGCCGAGGCAGCTGCCTGGGCCTGAGCCTGTTGGGCAGCCTCATCGTCCACGCTGAAGCTGACGCTGGAGGTCTTCTTACGCGCCCCGCCACCGGTGCCGGCGTCCAGGCTCTGGCCCAGGATGGTGCTGCGCGGCGGGGATTCACTAAAGTGCGTCGGCACAATGGTTTTCGGTGGCACCCAGTCAGAACTGAGGACAATGTCCGCGTCACTGTAAACGGTTTTCTTTGGTATCGGCTGTACGTTGGGAACGGGCTCGCGGATGTCGATGCCGGAGTCGTAGCAGGACTGCTTGGACAACTGCTCCAAGTGCTCCAGATCGATGCCGGACGGCGGCAGGGGGCCAACGGCTGAGGCGGCAGCAGCAGCTGCTCCTCCCAGCGGCTGGCTTGGTGGCACGCCGCTCACCGAACTGGTGGCCGAGTGAGGGTCCTGGACCCGGGCACCGCTATCCACGGTTATGTTGGACTCGTTGTCCGCCTCGTCTTCCGATGATCTTCGGGAATTAGACAAATAATAGCTGAGTAATATTTGGGGGCGTGGCACACAAATAGACACACATATTTATGTACAAGTGGGTTTGTTGTGGGTGTAATGTAAGGGGTTTGGTGTGTAAAGCGTTTGGTTTGCATTTATGGTAAGGGGTTTGTCGTGGCGTGGTTCGAAATATGAAAATAAAAACACAAAAATACAAACATAAAGTTATTAACTTAAAGCAATAAAAAGGTTGTCTTCGGCAAGCCAAAGCATTAGCTGCTCCCCCAGGTGCGTCGCATCTAAATAGATTACTTGGAGATAAGACAAATAGTTCACCTAGTTATTTTCCAAGCCAATTATTTTATGAAAGCTACTTGAGATAATATACGTAAGTCTAAAAAAAGAAACTGCGAAATATATTCTTTAATAAGATCTTGAATCACTCTTTGTTTGTCAATCAAAGGGAATTCTGAATAGATTTAAATCAAATTAATCAAAAATAGAGCCATATTTTTGCTCAACAAAGGAAAGTTCCTGCCTGATAAGTAGTCCTAATTGCTTTCACGCAATCAGTGTTATCTTTGAAACATATTTATATCATGAAAACATTAATAAAGAAATTCTAAGGGCAAAGTCCAGGGATTAAAATATCTTTTTGGTGCTATCCGTAATTATTTACATTAAATAAAATATATACAAAATTAAAAATGTTTCAACAATGAATAAAATTCCTCTGAGAGAGAAGAATTAAGCAGCAGTTGTTTACACAGAAACTGAAGCAAGCTGGGCAAACACTTACCGGTCTTTGCTCGGAACGGCCCAGTGGTGGTCCAGCAGACTCTTGCGTCGCTCCTCCAAGGTGCTGCGTGTGTTTGAGAGGCCCAACCCGACCTTCTTGTCCTCATCATCTTGAGCGTCAGTCTTAGCGCTATCTTTGGCTTCACCAGATGAGTCCTGATAAAATGATAAAAGGAAATTAGATAACTTGATATACCAGGAGAAGAGGATAAGGGGAAAGCTCACCACACGTTCGCGGTCGAAGGCTTTGGGAAAGGCGTCGCCATCGCGTCCAGTGCTGGAGCAGAGCGACTCCTGGTCGTCGGCAATCTCCAAGGATCCAATTTCAGCTAATAATTAAGGAGAATAACTGAATTAGTTCGGTAGAAAATAATTATAGGACAACAACATGAATTCTACTGAGGATTATAGACTTTAACTGCATTATTTAATGGCTTTTTATATAGAGATATGGCGCGGAGTCTTAGAGGTCTTTAAATTTAATCGTATTTACTGCTTTCCATAGAAATGCTGCCAATAAAAGTTAAGTTTGGCTTTCGCAATTGAATTAAACGATCGACTTAAAAGGCAAATAGTGTTACGTAGCCTATAGTTTATAGTATTTCTATCATGACTTTGCAGGGTCACTGACTCACCATCCAAGCGATCTTTACTGGCCTCGCCATCTTCGCCCAGCAGGGGCTGCTGCTCAGACAACTCCTTGGAATCCTCCTCAACTAATACTGGTTTCGGGTAATAGATCTCCGGCTTCTCCGTATCGCCTGATCCGCTGCCAGAAGCTAGGCCCTGGCCGGCCCCACCTGCCACTCGCATGTGCGCAATGTCGTGGAAAATGGCCGCGTTGACAACCAGCTCCATGGGCGCAATGACACCATAGCTCTCCGGGCCATGCTCGATGACCAGCGGATCGCTGACATTCGGATCGAACATGACGGCATTGGGCGTGACCAGAAGGACGCCGCCCACGACGCCCTGTCCGTCTGTGATGTGGCGCACATTGATCTTGAGGAAGCGCTGGGTAATCACCGGATCGTCGCTCTTGTTGGCCTCCTCCTCCGCCTGCTGTTGGCTGCTATTGGACACGCGTTCAATGTGGCCCGGCTTCGGGGATCCGGGGCGTAGGCCCTCGAGTATGTCTGCAAGAAATGGCATTTAATTAATATAAAATATCATATATTGGGTGCAAGTGGTTTTCGGTGGGGCTTCACTGGGAGGTGATTTTTATCAACTACACACCCGTTGTTGCCGGCGATAAGATAGTGAAAGCAAAATTGATATATGGGATAGTTTAAACTAAATCTGCGCCTTGTGACCTCCTTTGTTGTTTTAAGCTAAACGTACACCGCTGCTGCGTCTAGTGATGAGAATGGTGCTGATTTAAGCTACTTAAACGTACAAGATACAAGATAAAAAGTTCACGTTTCTCGCTTTTCTATTACAAAAAATGCATATTATATAACTTGGAATACTGGAAAAATGAATTTATGGAGAAAGTGTTGTTTTTTTAAATAAAGGATACCAATATTTTAGCTTAGTAATTAAACAAACAAACTTTTGCCTTTCAGAATCTCCTTTTTCACACTTTTATACTACAAAACAGAGTTAAACGGATCGTGTTACCTAACTAGTTTAAATAGCTAAACTAAAGTTACTCAGGTATCTGAAAGATACAATTGTACCTAGTCAAAGTAACTTGTCGAAATGTACCTAGACCGAACTAAATACTATTTATTCAGTTGCACATCACTGGCCTGGTGCGTTACGATTTCCGGAGATAGGGTGGCGACAACGTGACCCGTCGTCAGTCGCGAAACAAGGTGCCTTTTCTTCCGGAACGCCACCTGGAGTGGCCCTTCAAGGTCTTCAGCCTTTTTGTCAACCGCAATTAACACTTAATCACTTATTGTCGAGTCAAGGCGAGGCGACAACACAAACAATGGGGAGAAAAACAAACAAGCACCTCCATTCCGCCAGAAGACAGCCGTGTGCATGCTGAAGCTCGAGATCTTAAGTACGTCCTGCTGCACTATACACGTCGTGGATTCCGCCGCTCAATCAACGTGGCTTTCGGCAATCAGTCAATTTGACTTTAATCGCCTGTTTGCAGGTGCAAAACAACCGAGAGAAACACGTTCAGGTAAATATGTTTTGTTTTTAGGCTAGAGAAGTCACGCTAGCGATAGCTCTATCGATAATATCACTCTTGCGATGACACTATCGGTTTTTTTCACAAGGGTGAAAATAAATATTTGTATTAATTTTTTAGTTTTCGAATGCTTGTTTTTATGAAATTAAATATATAGTTGTATATTATATACATTTAATCTTTATAATATGAGCTTGTTTGTCGATATTCGACTGATATTTTGGTAGAGCAATCTAATATCGATATTCCGTAACTACGCAAAAAACATCGAACAAAAGGTGGGAAACATTGCTAGTCAGATGTCTATGGCGGGAAATTAAAAATTTAAGCTTATATTTAGAGGGGATTCCCAGAATTCTTTTTTATATTAAGCTGATGTTATACCTTCTATTGATAATTGATCATGGTTGATTATTTGATGATCATGCACGTAATCATTCTATAAATATTTTTAAAGTTAATTTTGTACTGTTTTTGATTCAAAATAAATAAATTGATAGCTTAAACTTGTGTAAAAGATTATATAAGATTGTATTTTGTAGTATTATTTTAATTTTCAGTGAAGCATTCATTCTGAATAAGTATTCAAGTGTAGTTTGAACTGAAGATAAGTTTAATTGAAAAAAAAAAACTATATGAGAATTTTGCAGTCGTGATGTTTAAAAATAAATATGTATATATATTACTAATAAATTAGGTGCTTATTTGAATTGGTAAGGGTTTTCCAAATAATTATATTAATTAAAAAAATTAATTGAAACAAAAATGGCAAAGCTCGTGCAATTGCAACCAAAAGACGCAGGCTGGGCGTTGGGCATTGCTGGCAAAGCTTCACTATCGTCGCACCAATTGCACCATTCCCTGACCCTGTCCACGGAGCGGAGCGTCCTTCCACTCGCATCGGATCGGATCGGATTGAAGCGGATCGCTTGGGCTTACCTTTCTCGCGGCTCTCGTCGCCGGACAACTTGCGCTCAATTGGGCTGGACTTGCCGGATAGGCTGCCTCCGTCCGGGTCGTTGGTGGAGCTGCTGGAGGCGTCGTCTTTGGCACTCTTGTCCGGCACCAGCAGCTGCTGGCCCGGGTAGATGAAGGAGCTGTTCAGCCGGTTGAGGTGGGTCAGCTCCGAGGGCGTGGTATCGAAGCGGGCCGCCACGGAGGTCAGGGTGTCGCGATTACCCACGGTGTAGGAAATGGTGGGTATGGTGGGCAATGAAGACTTTTGCCCTGCGAAAGAACACAAACAGAAATAATAATAATTAATAATACAAAACAATGATGACTGCGCTGTTAGATATGTACTCCGTGTGGCCGTGGGCACCGGGATCGGGGGACGCTGCTCGAAGACCGCAAACAAATCGCTATCGGGTAGCAGGTGGGAGTAGACCACACCTGTGGACGGAACCTGCTCCCGGCACAGGTAGATAACCGCGAACTCATTGGTCGCCAGTTGCCAATAAATCTCAACCACTTCCATGTTCTTTCCCGATTTTCTCCGAATTAACCAACACTCTATTTTGTGCGCCAAAATGTCAGGCTCATTGTGGCTGTCCACCTCTTTCAAACTGTCAGCCAGCTGGTTGTAAAGCGTCTTCATTAACTTTGGCGCGCTCTTTGAAATCCTAATATTAACATGATGACACCGCCACCGAACCGAGTGAATAACAAATGCGACTGCCAACCGGCACACAAGCCCAAACCGAACAGACATCAAGGTGATAAGGGAAAAAACTGATAAGCATAAATTTATAGGTAACCCCAGCGGGGGTTTGATATAACATTTTCCCGACATGACTCAACCTATATGATTTTTGAAGCCGATTGAGTTGTACCTTTTGATGTTTTTCTATAAACAACGATAAGTAATGCCGATTAATAATGATAAAAAAGTGCTGTCCATTAAGGTGATTGTTTCCTATAATTCTGTTTAGTTATTAACATAAAACAGTAGTCTCTCCCCTCTAATTTTACTTAAATTTCATTAAAAAGTAATTAATTGTTTAAGAATTAAACTAACGAAAGCTCTTTAAAAAATTAGTAGGTTTTAAATTAAATTTAAATAAAATCACAAAGTCAAAAAAAAAAAAGAAAGAAAAGAAAGTAAATATAAACGGCAAATTAAATTATTTAAAATTAAATCGGATTTGAAATGTTTATTTTTCCTGCATATAAAGGTACTCAGATGTTGATCTTTTGATCTAGGACTTTAAAAAACCAAGAAAATTCCTTAAGGTGTCCACAAATATATATAGCTATTTTTATATTAAGCATATTATTCAGTATAATTGTTTAGCTGCTTGTTTATAGAAAGACAACACTGAGTAGAAAATATATTGTATGTCAAATTCACGTAGAGTTTTTAGTTCCAACTATGAGCGCTAGGTGTCGCACGATAAACTTTAAATGTAAAAACCATGCTGTGGTTTCAAATAAAGTGCTATTTCAATTTCGTTTTAAGCTGCTTTAAACGAACTTTAATTAAGAATTCAAGTTTGTAGATGACCTATTTAAGCATTAAGACCTATTTTCTTTTTTTAAGAAGTTACTAATGAGGGAATTCTCTTTTAAATATGGGTCTTTCAGCACCTCCTTATATATACATACCTACACAAAACACACTCTTCTTATATTAAACTACTATCTTGAATAACAAAACGATAAAAATCTTTAGGATCATAAAAATAAATTACTTTCTGATATTGTAAATATCTTCTGCACACCAAAATTATCGTTTTAATATTAACATTTACCTATTTTTAAAAAGAATAAAGCCTGTAGCTAAACCCCCTTTATAATTGATATGCCTCTTAATTGAATATAAATTTAAAGTGATAGTTAGTAGGAAATTTCTTCGGAATACTCACTTGATAGTTTGTCAACACTCTCGAATCGTTGCTCGACTTTCGAGCGGAGTGAGTCCAAGTCAAACGGAGCCGCAAGGCCGTGGTCCACGCTGCGCGATTTGCTCCTGAAAAATGTCAGAATGCGGTTGTAAAATCGATTTTGAACGGAATTTTTGGGCTATTTGTAGCGATCGGAGAGCACAATCTGCTGCGATCCTTATCACTTACAAATTTTCAGCTCGAATTGTGACCATAACCGGGTAATAACAATTTATTTATTAGCTTCGCGTTTACCTTTTTCATTCAGCCTTTTTGTTGCTGCTTGTTTGTGTTTTTGTGTTTTGCTATCGTTTTGTAAAGATTATCTTGACAATCGCCGACTAGTCACCAAATATGGTAAAACGACGCATTTTAAATGTTGTTTTCTAAACGTTTTGCGATTTGTTTTTGTTTATTGTTTTGTATTTTTTCGATTAGCCTTTAAATAATTCGAGAGAAGTCACGACTTTTCATGTGGCTTGTCCTTAAGATGCTTTGCTTAATTAATATAATGCATGTGCCGGCTTGCAATGAGAGTTGAAAGGTAAATGCACAATTTTTCTAACGTTTTCTATCTTAATTTGCTGTAGGTTTTAAATATTTGATATATTTCCTGAGGCTTATATTAAATTAATACTATATAAACTTACAAATAAATGTTCAAACGCAGTTGATTTTTCTCTTTAACGGATGTAATGTTATAGATAGAATATATAGTTTATAGAACTTCAACTTTTAATATAATGCTTATGGTTTCATCGATTGAATTTATAAGATATAACATATTTAAGCTTAAACTAAGAAAGCCTTGACTGGGCCATCTATCCTGAACCCAATAACTCATTCGTCAACTAAGGAAACTATCCCCATTTCCATTAATCAATAAATAACCTTATCATATATTAAAAATGGAAGAGTCCAACCGAAATCCATGTCCTTTTCGCATTGCCGAGGATTGCGGCGCTGCCTTTGGCATGGGCATCCTGGGCAGTGGTATCTTCCAGGGGATTCGTGGTTTCCGCAATGCTCCTTCCGGTCTGGGACGACGTTTGGCCGGAAGTTATGCCGAAATGCGTTCCAGATGCGCCACAACAGGTGGAAATTTTGCGGTTTGGGGAGCCACCTTCAGTGCCATTGATTGTACGCTGGTCTACATACGCAGAAAGGAGGATCCTTGGAACTCGGTTATTAGTGGGGCAGCCACTGGAGGGATCCTGGCTGCAAGGACCGGTATGTTCTCATTTTCTAGGGGATGCTATAGTTCGCTATTCTTTGGTCTAACCTCAAATCCTCTTGCCACAGGACTGGCCTCCATGGCTAGCAGTGCTGTGGTGGGCGGCATCATCTTGGCCCTGATCGAGGGCGTGGGCATAGGAGTGACCCGTTTCTCGTCGGAGGTTTACCGCCCAGTGTCACCAGTGGAGCGAGAGGAGATCTTTAGGGAGCAACAGGCACAAAAGGGTTTCTCCAAGGTGGGTTTGGTTTTGATCTTTAATCTTGTATCCCAATCCCTTCCCCTGATATTTTCAGGTGAATCCATCGCCAATGTAGAATTATTCGCTGCGTCATCGGGTAGACGTTGCCATCCATCCATCGCTCGACAATTGCATACAAATTTTATACGAGATTCTTTTCAGTGCTCCACGATTGGCGGCATTCCGATTTTTTTAAAATTAAAATTCATTTGTCGTTCATTCCAAGTTTTAGAATCTTAAATATATTTATATTTGATTCGGCATTTTTATGGCTACGGTCTGAAGTCGGACTGGAGTGTTGTGTTCTGGCATTTGTTTTGGCATTTTGGGAGGCGCGTGTGCTTCCTAGCTCCATACTTGCGATTTGCCCATTTATTTGGTATTCCTAACCAGTCCTATAACCCTTCGATCGGGCAATAAGTTATTTATCTACAGTTGGCACGACTGTTGTCTTGATTTATGCATATATTTTTATAGTTTTCTTAGTCCTATGATTTCCTTGTTACAGAATGATTCACTTTAATCAGTTTTATAATCAATATGCTTGTTCAATTGTATTCCTTAAATTCTACTTCAAACTGCAAAATACTTTCTATTTTTAGAACGATTCCCTTCAATGTCGAATGTCCTTGTCTCTATTGTATGTGGTGTTCAATTTTCTTTTCCTTAGTTCACGCTGGCAGCATTTTCCTCACTATTTCCTTGTTTCCTTGTGGGTTCTGCTCAACTGCGATTCACAAAACTAATTTCCGCTATAATTTTGGGGGCTGTGGAAATGGGTTTTCCTCTGTCCAAGATAGTCATCGATTCAATGTGAATCAATTGAATGACAGCCACATGTCCAAGTTGAATATTGGAATGGAAAATAGTCTTGGGCCTCCTTCGATAAGGTTTCGCTGCCGAAACGGCCGCCTTTGTTGGCATATCAAAATATTTAAAAATAATAAAGTTTTATTTGCGCGTGTCTTTTCGCTCCGTTGCCAATTAGCGGGCAAACGGCGATAACCATAATTGAATATCAATGATAAAAAATAAATATGCATAAATACATACGAGTGTGTGTGTAAAATAATTTTCAGCTGGCAGCCAGCAGCCAGCAGCAGGCGCATGCAAACTGTTTTTGTTCGTAGATAAACAATAAAAATAAGCAAATACTAAATAATTATTTAACGCATATTTGTCGCCCATTCCGATATTTGTTTTCCCCATTTTAATTCCAGCCCCGTGTTTACTGCCATTGAGAATTTTCCACGGAAAGTCTTGGCCCGATCTAGCTTGTTGCCAATTGCGCAGCTGAAAAAACCTTTCCAAGGAGATAGGCCTAGTCCCCCAGAGGGAGGAGTGAAAAAACCCTTGCAAAAACAAAGTCTGGGCTGAAAACAACTGTGTTTGATTTTAAGTTGGCGACATTTGACAACACGTCTCCCTCCATGTTATTTATGCATTTAAATTAAATTGAGTTCAGGCAGCGACCGAGCAATGGAATCTCGTTTGCACAGTTGGTATTCGCGTTTAAATGGAAATGTATTTCGCCTTTTGTTCTGCGCGTAAACATAAATAATTGTATATGACATAAATATTATTTTCGGAGGCTAAATATTCACTTTTCGCATTCCTAAGCATTTCAGACATTTCTTTTGGCTGCCAGGCAAGGCTAATATTCTTTGGCAATTGTGATCTTTTGCTCAAAGAAAATGTTCAAATAACATCTCATGTGTGATACAATTTCTCTGAATTTAAATTACTCATAAAGGATATATTAAAAACCTTTTCTAATTGCTGTCTGGTTGGTCAGGAAATTCATTTTAGCAGAGTAATTTCTAATGGTTTCAAAAGCTTGATTAAGATATCTTTCTCCTCTCTGTAAGCTAAGCTAATCACTGTAACTAATCGTTAGTAAGTTAGACTCGCTTCCGCATAAGTTGAACACACTGAATAGAAAATAAAATATACATTTAATAGCTGTCTTTGAGTAATGCCCAAGTTATTCTCCATTATTTCCCAGACTCTTTTTCAAGCTGACAGTGAGTGCTTTAACACAACACCTTAGGAATGACTTGGGAATGTGACGTGTCATAAATGGCCAGAGGGGCAATTGAATAAATCCCAAAGCTCATTCACTTATGGTTACAACTCTCTGTATTTCATATATAGTAAATATATATCTTATCGGTCTTGTGCATTGTTTGCCCTCGATCATTTGGCCCTGGGCAGCGATCAGTGGCATGAACACCGAAAGCAACCAGTAGGAGCCACCGCGACGCTTTACTGACACAATTCCGCCCGAGTTTTAAAATGTCAACAACCCGCAATTGGTTTTACCACCCACTGTCTCTGCATTTTTATTTGCCTTTTGTCATTGGCTAGACATTGGTCCAAGTTGAACCCGGGCCAAGGGGTGACTCAGTGCCATTACGTATACGTAATGTGTGTGCGACGTACGAAAAACATGAATTATTTACTTTTATTGCAGTTGTGAAATTGATAATAGAATGCTTTCACTCGATGCTGATTTCTTTATATTCCGTGTGACTCATGGAAGTTGTTATTTTAATTGATTTTCCTTGGGGTAGGTTTATTGTCCTTGTAGCATTTAAATTGTTGTGATTACTTCAATTATTACTAGTAATTATTACTAAACTTCCTTTGCCTTATCAACTGTTTACGCGGATTTTATCTGTCAATTTATTTATTTATATAGTACTTATGTGCTAAGACTTATAAATTATCAAAATTTGTTAATAAGACGACAGGGAACATTAAGATTATCTATAAATAATCTGATACTGAGTGTAATTTGAACTGCCTCCTTATAAATGATCAATATTTGCCTCGAAAATTAATTTATTAAAGCTAAAGTTCATAAATTGTTATATATATATATTAAGCACAAGTTATGGTCACAATTGGCTGAAAGTCAATAATATGGTTATTGGTAAATGCTTTTATAATAAATATACTATATGAGCATGCAGGTGCGTTAGGTAAATACACATATAATATATCGAGCCATGCAACATTCAACAGCGATACACAGAGATATATGTTACAAGAAACAGATTTAATTATGTCATGCAGGCTTTATCTTATCATTCATTGTTGTTTGTGTGTGTGTGCTCAGGTGTGCATGTGCATGATAGGGTGGTAGAGAGGGGGAAAGGGGAAAATTGTTAGTTGCAACTTACCTGCGCACGGGAATCGCCAAATTGTCAACGCTGCGTGACAAACTGGATACATCTTGACTAGCCCTACGTGACCTGGCGCGTTCGCAAATCATAAGGAGCACATCGGGGCAGGCGAACAAAACCAATTAAATGAGCAATTTGTGCCAAAACAAAATACAGTAGGTCCAAGGAAATAAATAAGGAAAATAATACGATAAATAATACAATTATACATAGTATATATATAATAAACTACTAAAAGGTAAGGTTGAAAATTAACAAAAAACTAAAACAAAAAAAAAACGCGAGGTTAACAAACGCCAATTTTGTGGAATGCACACGTAGAAAATAGGGAATTTATCAGACCCCAAACCCCGAATCCCGTCCGTCTAATTACTCTCTATATAGTGTCCATTAAATGTATATATTTAATATATATTTGTGCAAACATACTATGTATCTGGGGGATAGCACGTGGTCAAGACGACTTTGAGCTAATTGCTGTGGAATCGTCACGTTCAGAGATTTCGAAAAGGGTGAGGCCATGGGACCTACTAACTTGGGGGACACACTAATGATTATAGTTTAAATCAAATGATTACTACAGGCACGATTTCTTATAGATTCAGTCAATTAAAAACATCTTAAGAGCTGGTAATTAAATTATTAAATAACAATGTTGCTTTAGTATGAAGAAAGGATCTATCCAACAAAAGATATTTGTTGTGGAAAAGTTTATAGGAAGTCATAGCAGTTACTTCATCTGTTTGAAATATGTTAAAAGTAAGAAACCGTCTCTAAAATCTCAAGCCATCAAGTCATCATAAAGCTAACTTTAATATAGAATCAGGTAATATTATTTTTTTATTAATCTACAACTTTAAAATAAATTCCTACACAAAAGTGCACTTTAACAATCACAATTTATTTGCAATCATTTGATGTTATCAAAATGGGGAATTCTGGATTTGTTTTTGGACACTCTCAAACACTTGCTAATAGCAGGTCCAACTTGAGCTAAAATGTACTTGAATTTTTGAGGGTTAACTGCTAAAAGACCGATATGATATGAGTGAAAAATAAAACAAAAAAAAAAAAAAATCCCAAACAGCCTGTGACTTTTTTTAGTTAAGATTGCCAGAACTCAAGGTTTCATATATGGCCAACAGTCGCGAAAACTCTGATATAGACCAGGGTCAAAAACATTTGGCATAGAGAGTTTATCTTAATTTGGGGCAATCATAGAGAGTCGTAATTGTGTCTAATAGGTGTAGAAGAAATTTATGAGAAATAAGGTTTTCTAAATAGGTCAATCAAGATTATGAGAAATAAATTAAACAAAGTATTCAATTAGATTCACCAGAGGAAATTATCACCCATCATCATCATTATTAATTTGTTAAGCTAGATAAACAAAATAAAAATATATTTGTGTAGCTAATCAGCAGCCTATTAATTAAAATGGATTAATATCAATATATTATTATTTGTTTAAGGAAGCCCCCTGGTGAAAAATTCAATAAACATTTATATTTACTTTGTAAGAGTTTTAATGTGCTATTTTCGCTTAACATTGACCCAAAAGCCAGAAAAGGCGAAACTCAATGGGCAAACAAAGGGGAATCGAATGAGGGAACCAGAGGTCTCGTGCGTACGTGCTTAAGATCATGTTTGTCGTTTTCGGGGAATTACAATGGTAACCGGAAGTTGAGCTCAATCTAGAAAGAGTCTATGTCTTGGATCTAAGCTTAAACTATACAATAACTGATGATCTCTAACCACTAATCTTCTATATTGTTTTCCAACTCGGCTGACAAAAACGTTTAGATTCAACACCTAATCGAAAGTGTTCAATGTTCCCCATAAAGATAAACAATTGTTTCCCCGAAAACTGCCATTCATTCGTTACCATGCAATAATTAATAATAATGTTTATGGCCAAACCTCTTCACTAGAACATTTTCAAGCCTAGAAACGTGAAAATAAATTGATAAATATCTAGGGCAAAGCTTAAAGGCAAATTGCTTACCAATAATATTGTGAGGTGATTAGAATATTCTGCATGTTGTATTATTTTTTATTCATAACTTTTACTCAAAACTAAAGACAAAGTAAGGTCTCAAATTAAATGCAATTTCTTGGCAACGTCTTGGCTTATATATAGTTTAATGGCTAAATTAAAGGGGAGATTGATGCATGTTTAGGCCGAATAATATAATCGAATACCGATTATTTGCCCGATCAATCATACGCCATGGTGTCAGCCGACATTATGTGACAGATGAGACACACCGAGTAAGACAGAGAGTAAAAAAAGCGGAATGGAACTAAAACAAGCAAAAGATAAATTCACTTGACACTCTGTTGACTTTTAATGATTCAATTTTGCTGTCAGAGCCGCGGTGTGTGGAAAATATTGATGACAAAATTAATTAGCTTGTCGGAGGAGGCGTCGCAAGCAGGGAAATACAAATACAAATTTCGCCCAAAGTCCCGGCCCTTATCAGCCATAGCTGAGCACAAAAACTAAGCAAACAAACAAAAACACAACAACCAAAAACTGACAGCAAACTGCAGCAGTTGTCTAATGTTGTCACGTGTCTCCCCGGGGTTCTCTGGTATTAATTCCGCCTTTGATTTTGATATAAGCAACTCCATTCTGCCCTAAAACTGGCCACCGACTTTTGATAATCATATTTAAATTCCCTCCCCTTAAGGTCTCTTAGCCTTTCCTGCCACTGCCACTTCATAATTAGAATTTTATGCCGCATTGTTATCTCTGTTTGCCATGGCTTTTTCTGCTGGCTAACAAATAAAAACAACAAAAAACAAAACGAAGGAAATGTTGTTTGCATTTGCCTGTCCCTGTTGCTACCAACTTAACGACAAAAGAAAAAAAGGTTAATTGGATTTTTGGACACATTTTTGCCGCTGTCTGTGCCATTTTTTTTTTGGCATCAGAAAATGTGTCACCTTCGAGGGCAACTCACCTGCACGTGAGTTTTGCGTAATGAGAATAATTTTAGTCAACGAGAAGTTAGTATTTAAGTTGGCAACAATAATATATGACACGTACTATATATAATTTAGGGGAGAGAATGGCTTTCAAGGTGATGAAACATCAACAAACTTTACACTTCTAAGCTTACTAAATCTCCCAGGTTTTTGTAATTTGTAGGTTTTTTTGTGGAGTAAACGTTTCAGTTAAGGTTCGAATTTCAATGGAGTACCCAAGTTAAATAATTGTTTAAGGGGAATAATATTTTTGAGTAGTTAATAGCCTCTAAAGTTATTAATTTCTCAAATTATTAGCATTGAGACCTAGTTTAAGTACTTAAATAATGCTCTCTCTCATATATATTCACATTAATTGGCTCTCTAAAAAACCCCTGGCACATTCCCTGGCTTTTATAGTCAATTACCCCATTTGATATCATCTCTTTTTGTCATCCAATTGATTCCCACAATCGCCGGACAGCCAACACCCAAAACGATTATTCATGAACCCGAGGCAAGGTCGCTGCTTATTCAATCTGCACTTGAAATTAATCCTCCTCCGAAAAAATCAACAACAACAAAAAATAAAATACAAATTTGGGTTAAGGTTGGCCTTCAACCGCAAACCGGTGAAAAAAAAGTAAAGAAAGTCAACTGCTTGGGCTACTGCTATCAGCCTTATCTTATTTGTAGGCATTTGTATTCTCGCGTATTTGTACACAAAAAGTATTTCGTAAATATTTAAATTGGCTGCGTTGTTCTTAGTCATGGGGAGTAATCGTCGCACATTTATATATTGCACGGCAACATTTTTTTGGACCGGCCTTAATTGAAACAATTAATTGCATTTTATATTACATTTGCAATGCCTGCCGGGTGTGAGCACAACGAATGGTGGTCAGTTGCCTTTAATTTCTCGGCGCCAGCGGCATTGTCGTAAATGAATTCATCACCAACGACTCGTTTGACACTTTATTTTTATACCCTTGCAGGGTATTATAATTTCAGTCAGAAGTTTGCAACGCAGTGAAGGAGGCACCTCCGACTATATAAAGTATATATATTCATGATCAGGATCAACAGCCGAGTCGATCTATCCATGTCCGTCTGTCCGTCTGTCCGTCTGTCCGTCTGTCCGTCTGTCCGTCTGTCCGTCTGTCCTTCTGTCCGTCTGTCCGTTTCTACGCAAACTAGTCTCTCAGTTTTGAAGCTATCTGAATGAAACTTTGTAGTTGGCCTTCTATATACTCTCACTCGTATATATGTCGGAACGGGCTGGATCGGACGACTATATCTTATAGCTGCCATAGGAATGATCGGAAAATTTTTACAAAAATTTTTTTAACTTTTTCAGTTTTCAATAGAATTTGATCAATTTTGAGATATAGCCATTTTACTATACTCTACAATTTTGCATAAAATTTTATGAAAATCGGACTACTATATCATATAGCTCCCATAGAAACGATCGAGAAATTAATACAATTAAATTTATAACCTTTTCAGTTTTCAACTGATTTTCATAAAAATTTTAGGTATAGGCATTTTATATTTGTCTTACATTTTGTGTCAAATTTCATGAAAATCGGACTATTATATCATATAGGTGCCATACAAACGATCGTTTGATGTAGAGGAAAAATGCAAATCTTTGAATGTAAAACTGCAAATATAATATGTATAGGTGAATACAATGAAAGCAGGTATTACTTCACTGTTTTTTAACACAAATATATATCATTTATATTGTATGGTTTTTTATTCATAGAAGTTCTATCTGCAAGGGTATATAAACTTCGGCGTGCCGAAGTTAGATTCCTTTCTTGTTTATATATATAACCGAACTTGTATTCTCTTCACTCGATCGGTATTCACGTAGAACCTAGTTTGAATATCGTCGTCGTGTTTGTTAGGCATTTAGCATGAAGCCTATAATTTGTTCGACTTGTTCGTGTGATCTGTGAGAGAAAAGTTGTCGTCAGCCTGGCTTCATTAGCGGCTGATTGAGGTAATTTCTAGGGGCAGGTGACACCTGGTTGGAATATTAGGGAACCGATCGGAATAGACGAGCCCCTTGATAGGTGGTCTCAAGGAAA